ATCAATTTCATTGCAGATATTGCTGTGAAGTGTCGTATGTCATATGCAATGATACATGAATTTCAATTCAGAGTTAATCACATGCAACTTCAGAGCAACTCACATGCATTGATAGTCACTTGTACTATATATACATGCATGTGTTATTCAGAACCGAAAGAATCCCAAACAAACCCACTATCAAACCATAACCAAAAGATGTCTTTTATTTACACCACCTCAAGCTCTAGTTCTTCTGATTTCTCAAATAACGTTGAATTTGATCGGTTAGTTGATGATTATGCTGCTAACCACCTACCTCATATTTTAATTCCCCAACACTCATCACAAGAATCCCAACTTAATAATGATACAGAAAGTGTCCCGGAGCCTAAAAGGGGTAGGGAAAGGGAAAAAGGGCATGTGCAACTATATAACGATTATTTTGTGAGTAATGCAGTGTATATCGACAACCAATTCCGCCGTAGATTTCGTATGCAAAGATCTTTGTTCTGTCGCATTATGAACAAGGTCGTTGAAGGGGATCAATTCTTCCAACAACGTCGGAATGCAGCTGAAAAGTTTGGTTTATCACCGTTGCAGAAATGCACCGCTGCAATAAGAATGTTAGCCTATGGAGTAGTCCTAGATGTCGTGGATGAATATCTACGTATAGGCCAAACAACCTTAAGGAATGCATTGCAACATTTTTGTCAAGGGGTTATTTCACAATTTGAAAGTGAATATCTACGTAAACCTACAGATGAAGATTTAAGGAGAATCCTTCATCAAAATGATTTGCGTGGGTTTCCAGGCATGATTGGTAGTATAGACTGCATGCATTAGGAGTGGAAGAATTGTCCTACGGCTTGGAAAGCACAATATGCTGGTCGTAGCAAGACTGCAACCCTCATTCTTGAAGCCGTTGCTGATCATGATTTATGGATTTGGCATGCGTTCTTTGGAATGCCTGGCTCATGTAATGATCTTAATGTCCTTTACCGTTCACCGGTGTTTGATGATGTTTTACAAGGTCGTGCACCACCAATAAATTTTTAGGTAAACGGACATCAATATGAGTTGGCCTACTACCTAGCAGATGGGATTTACCCGAGATGACCAACTTTTATACAAGGTATAACACATCCTCAAGTTCAAAAAGACAAGTTGTTTGCTGATCAACAAGCAGCAGTTCGGAAAGACGTTGAACGGGCTTTCGGAGTTTTACAAGCTAGGTTTGCTATACTACGACAACCAGCACTGCCTTCGACGAAGATATTCTTTGTGACATTATGAAAGCCTGTATAATAATGCACAACATGATCGTCGAGGATGAACAACACAACTACACACGTGCAGATGTTTTGAGACGATACTACGAAGAAGATCGACCACAACGTACAACAGCGCGGGCGGGACCGAGCACAAGTGCCACGGTGAATAACAACGAGCCATTTGAATTCAACGTCGGGCGGCCACCCAACATTGATTTCAACGCGTATTTTCAGAGGAGGATTGCCCTTCGTGATAGAGAAATTCATTCGTCTCTCAAACAAGATTTAGTAGAGCACATATGGTAGAACTTTCGTCATAATACGGCCGAATAAGCAAATTTGTAGTTTGTAATCGTATCGTTTTTAAGTTTTAATACTCATCTTTGTGTTTTATTTTAGGTCAAACCGCTGTTATTAAGTTTGTAATCGTACTATTATTTAACATCCGATGTATTTGTATTGCCGTTTATGTGTTAATTTCAAAAATGCGTTTCTTATGTAATCGTTTAAGTTTAAGAAAACATCTATCTTAGAACCTATAATTGCTGTAATTTTTTTCAATTATTATATTCTAATTAGAACGTTAAATAAAAAATTATATTGAAAATGTTCTATTTATTAATTTTAACCGTAATTAAATAAATAAACAAAAAATTACAAAAAAAAAATAAAAAATTACCAAAATAAATAAAAAATTAAAAAAAATTATTACATTATAATTAAAATGTAATTATAAAAAAAAATATTACATATTTTTAATTGTATTGGATAGTTAAATATGTAGTATAAACATTATTAAAAAAAAGGAGAAAAAAAAAGTGATTTGTATTATGGTGGGGTATAGTAAATAGTGGAAGATAAAGTGATGAGGAGTTTTTTTTTTTTTTTTTTTGAGCATTAGTGTAGTAAAAAAAACCTCTCATGAGAGGAATTGGATGGGAAAAGTGAAAAAGTGGGTAAAGAGAGATTGAGAGGTTTGTTTTATCCTCACTGCTGATAATGGTCTTAGAGTCACTGGACAAAGATATATGTGTGTTATCTTCAGAACTAGAGTTTTGGTGTGGGGCCCCCATTAAAGTGCTTGCTGACTCAACTCCCATGACCCCACTATTAGCCATGTCACTACCCCTCTATTTTTTGTTTCACCATCTGTATAAAACCCAACACCTGGTCCATAAAGCAACCTGTTGACTGACTCATCCTTCTCTTTTTGGACCAGGTATAAGTGGTACCAACCATCATTTTCTGAAGCATGCAGGAACTCAAGTTTCTCCACATCACTCTATATAAGTTTCCTACCACTAAACAAAGTACACCCTTTTCTCCTAAACCAGATTTCCCCAACTTCATCCCTAACTCCCTTTTTATCTAGTCTGCAAACTCAATATAACATACCTCTTCTACATTAGGATGTAGTGATACCCCATAATAATCACTGATCCCCTTTTCATATGTGGTTTTTTTCTTCTTTGTAACAAAGTGTCCACCATAGTATAATCTAATGTTAATGGCCTCCATTAATTTATACCAAGGAAACCAAATATTATCCCTACCTTTAAACCCTGATTCAATTAAAAAAAGCCAATACTAAATTCATAATCTAAACCAAATCAAACAAACCACACACATGCATGCAAATTAAAATTAAAAAATCCCTAATTTCAAGCACCATATTTTAATGCATTCAAACTAAGGCCTTGGTTGGTTCACCTTATTTTTGCTGATCTAATCTGATGTGGTCTGATTTGACCAAACTTTGACCTTAAGTGTACGATAATCTATAAGGAAAAAATATATCAAGTGGGATCTTGTTAGATCCGCAATAATGTGTAGTTTATTAATATGTAATTTTCACAATTTTATCATTACGAAATTAAGAATATTTAGCGATAAAAACCGCACATAAAACGATGTTCTGATCTGAACTTATTTTTTCTGATCTGATCTTATTTTTTCTGAAATAAGTAAAATTAAGGTAAACTAAATAAGGCCTAAAACAGTAAACAAACCACACACAAACATCTATTTTATGAATCCCCATAACAATAACACTATTTTAATCAACCACTTTAATTAATTATGTATACCAAACACAAACAATTTTAAAATTAGCCTCGCACAATTTAAAAAAATTTGACCTAACAATACATGGGATTTTGTAAAATTGTGTAATTGGTCCTCTTTTTGCACTTCCTTGAAGGTGATGCACTCCGCTTCGCTTTGTCCTTAGCCATGACAGAGCAAATGCTTAAATTATCAATGCTATGTTTTCAGAAATGAAAAGAATCTATTTTTAAATGCATACTTAATTGATTCAACTCTTACTATTTTTTGGTGGGTGTAAATTGAATGCAGGTTCACATCTTCATTGATGATTTAGCAGCCATGGCAGAGAAGGTGTTGCAGAGAGAGTAATTGCCTCGATGCTTGTTCACAAAGAGGAGAGAGAGGGGGTTTAATTGAAGGAAAAATAGAGTGGAATTAGGAAAAAAAGGTGTAAATAGAAAAAAAGAGGCATGTGACACACACATGCTAGGTCAAAGCCGAAAAAAGGCGAGTCAATGTCAGAAAGTGGCACTTGATCGTCCTCAAAAAAATTTTTTATAAAAAGTTTCTCCTAGTTAAAAAAATTTTAAAAGATTTTTCTGAAAAAGGTCGCTTTAAAAAGTTTATCCTAACAAAATTTCCTATTACTTATTTCAAACCAAATTAAAAAAATTAAGTTACAAAATTTGATTATATTAGAAAATTAAGTTCATATCTGATTATAACAGAAAAATAAGTTCATATCTACTTTATCAAAGGACCTTATTACTTATTTCTAATCAGATCAGAATATTAAATTCAAATCTGATTATATCTTAAAAAAATAGGATTATCTACTTTATCATTTTATTTGCAATTTTTTTATCACTAAATATCTTTAATTCCGTAATCAAAATATTATGAAAATTGCTTAAAAAAATAAACATGCATACAAATCTACTAAAACCTCATTTGATATATTTTTTCTTAAAATAAAGTGTACAGTTAAGATTAAACTTTAGTCAAATCAAACAATCAGATCAGATTAAAAAAATAAGTATGTTTAGATCATATTTGAAGAGCAAAAATAAGGTGAACTAAACATAACATGAGTGATTATATTTTATGTGAACACCATCCCTCTCGCCTACAAAAAAGATGAATAACAAAACGAATTGAGGGAGACCAATAGTTAGTACAAAGGTTTTTGTTTAATTGTCCACTATTTATTACCTTTTTTTTTTTTTTTTTTCCTTTTAGAGCAAATAAATTAATATATGCAATTAAAACTAGAATTTTGTTTGATCCAATTTTTATTAAATTTGCTACATTTGAATGATAGGGTGTGTTCTAGTGTTCTACCCACCTGATTTTCAATTATATAAATTTATTTATCTTTTATGAACTTATTAAAACTTATTTTGGTTGTAATTTGAATGTAAATAAGTTTTATCAACCTTAATTAAAAGGTATCCCCTTTGTCTTTTATTTTTTTACCCCATTTGACTTTCCACGGTCCCTAAAACGCATTTTCAAATGTATATATTTTCATTTCTATACGCGTAAAAATTATAAAAACTTGATATTAATAAAATATACAATGAGACAACTCTAATAAAATCCTACTTACATATATTTTCACTTATAGATTAACGAGAATTTACAGTCAAAATTTTAAAATTTTGACCCATATAGTTGCATTGGGGCAAAAAAATAATAAATAAAGGGTGTATTATCTTAAATGCATCTTATCGGACCGTATCTAAATTTATTATATCTGAAAATAAAGTGAACAAAATATGACCTCAATTAATACTGTATTCCTTTTCCATATAGAATTTCCTCGATCGAAAGAATAACGTTAATCCCATACCATACAAACTCTACTTGAGCTGTCATCATAATCAATTAATAAATTCCCAAAACCCTTTAAAAACCCATTGCCAAAAATATTCGGACACCAGTATTCCAGAACCTTCCCACGAGGGCAAAACCGTTAAATCATACACAAACCCAACTTCTACAACCTTCCAATTTCTGGGCTATTTATTCTCTCGTAACACCCCTATTTTTCTATCAAATTCTCTATCAAAAAAACAAAAAAAAAAAAAAAAACCCGAAGAAAAAAAAAAAACAAAAAAAAAAATCCTTCTTACGATTCGTTTCAAAAAGAAAATTCCTATATGCAGATCGATTAAAAGATGGAGAACATGATGAACAGCCACCAAGCAGAAACCCCGACATTCTGCGCAAAAGGCTGCGGATTCTTCGGAACAGCGGCGACAATGAATATGTGTTCAAAGTGTTACCGTGACCACCGTCTCAAGGAGGACCAATCCGTGACCGTTAGAGCCGTCGTTGAAAAATCGTTATCGTCGACATCTTTGTTGATACATGAATCTGTAAGTGGGGAACCGAAACAGAAGTCCGATGATGCTTCGGTGTCGGTGTCGGTGTCGGCGGAGAAGGAGGCAGAGAGTTCGACAAAGGCGGCGAATAGGTGTATGAGTTGTAACAAGAAGGTTGGAGTTGTCGGGTTTAAGTGTAAGTGTGGGTCCACTTTCTGTGGGTCCCATAGGTTCCCTGAAGAACATAGTTGTACATACGATTTTAAGGTTGCTGGTGAAGTTGTCATCGCTAAACAAAATCCTAAGGTTGTTGCTGCTAAGTTGCGCAAGATCTGAATTTTTAGATTTTTTTTTTTAGATTTTATGATTTATTAGATTAACACTTGTTTGATTATTTTGATTGGTGATTAGTTTTTATAAATAAAGAAAATTTTAGAGATTTAGTATTTTTATGTTGATAGTACTATTATTTATCCTGATTTCTCGTTGCAGTTTTGTTTATAAATTGATAAATTGGTCACCTAAAAGGCTAAATTAATATTTTTATGCTAATTATTAAAGAAAAGTCTGGAAGAAATTATTGATTATGAGAGGTTGAGACGTCGAGTAAGCATTGAGCCATGTATGATTTTTGTAATTGTTGGGAATTTAATTAAAATTCAACTGCAAAACAATGATACGGTTGGTACATAGATTAGTAATTGGCAAGTTACATCATTAATTTTAGATTATTATTCTTCAAATCTATCACATTTTGACAAATATGACAAATAACCAATTAACCACTACTCCTGTTCTCGAAAAAAATTATAAACAACTATTCTCTAAAAACATTATAACTATTGCAAATTTACAACCGCACATGGTTGGATTGGAATACTTAACATTGTCAAAACAGGAGTGCTGGTTAAGTTTGGGTTTGAAGATATAGTGTTTGAATCAATGTCGAATTTGGTCATGTTAATTGTGGTTAGATTAGTGAGTCTCTACAAATCAAATACTTCATCCGTCCTCTTTTGTTGTCACTTTTAATAAAAAATCACGGAAATTAAGGAAGTATATGAGAACTAAAATCCAATCATTTGCAATAAAAAAGAAGAGAGAAAAACTGATTTGCAATTATGACAGCCGGTTTTCAAGAGGAAAACCTTGGGTTTTTTTTTTTTTTTTTTTTTTTTTGCTTTATTAAACAACCAATGAAAATTCAGGAGTACATTAGTAATCCATGTGATTTGTTTAAACCAATCACATTGGCATAATCAATTACACCATCTAATAGAATTAAAGTACACAGATTGATGACTAAGCTAAGCTAAATGACTCCAATTTTTCATCTACCAGAGCTACACTATAAAATCCATTCCTTCTCAAAAATTCAAATCATTTGAGGGGGAATTACAAACAAGCTTAACAAATGCAACTTAAATTAAAAAAAAATAAAAAATTTACCCCCTAAAAACGTCATTGCCTCCAAAAACAAATGGCTTCAGACTTCAATTTCGATTTGAATCAAGCAATGGATGAAGATGCTGCTGATTTTGTTGATGATATGCACAACTTTTTTGATTGTGATCTTAACTCTGCTTATGATCCATATGAATATGGATATGAATCAGAAAATATCCAAAACAGCCTTGACTTTGACCTAAACCAAAGTCCTTCCCTTGATGCAACACAAAGCAGAGCAAGCAACAAGCAACCAACAAAAGGGTGAAGGAATCAACAACAATCAACAAGCAACAGGCAACCAGCAACAAGGTCAGCACAACAACAACAACAGTCAGCAAGCAGCATTCAACCAACAGGATGTTGAAGGTCATCATCAGCATATGTGGCTTAGTAGTGGGGACAAGTTCAACATATTGATATGGCTTCTGACCAGATCAACAGATGGAAAACTTAAATGTGGATCCATTCAACAAGGTGCCACTCATTTTAATTTGTCAACAAGAACTATATACTCAGAATCTGGAAAAAGGGGAAGCTACAAAGGCAAGCACAACAACTGTACAATATGGCAACAAGCTATCACAATTGTGGGAGAAAACAAGTGTCTATTTCTAATAAGGATATCAGGGCAGTTTCAATGGGGGACAGATCATGCCAAAGAGACTTAGCTTCAATGCTTAATGTGGGAAAAAGCACAGTTGGGAGAGTGGTTAAAAGAGGGGATATAAGGTCTCACACATATGCATTGAAGCCAAAACTCACAGCAGCAAATAGAAAAGAGAGGCTGAGGCTTATTCTCAACAACATTATAGGGGATACACCAGGCACAAAGAGAGTGTACCAATCGCATAGATCATACTTAGTAAAAGGGGAAAGAGGACCCCATAGAGTTATGCAATCTTAGAAGTTCATTCCTAAGTTCATGTTTCAAGGAGCAGTTGCAAAACCTTGGGTATAATGCACAAAAAGAAGTCATATTTGATGGGAAAATAGGCATTTTCCCTTTTGTAAAGAAATAGACAGCACTTAGGAACTTAAAGTACTGAAAAAGGGGGAATTAGTGACCAAAGTCATTGATCCAATCAACAGGGATGTGTCAAGATGGATGTTAGTGGCAAAGGTTATACCAGCAATTATGGAAAAGTGGCCCCAAACAGGTCATCACAACACAATCTACATTCAACAAGATAATGCAAAGGCTCATATAACCCAAGATGATACTGTTTAGCAAGAACATTATGAAAAACCAGGATTCACTTTTATCCTAACCTAACAACCTCCAAATAGTCCAGACTTGAACATTCTAGCTAGACTTAGGATTTTTCAGAAGCATCTAATCACTCCAACATAAAAAAAAAAAAAGAAATGGCTAAAACACCAGATTAGTTGATAAATGCTGTGGAACAAGCTTTTGATGAGCTAAGTGCAACAAGATTGTTCAAGGTCTGGGTAACTTTGTGCCACACCATGAATGCAATCATGAAAAGTAAAGGGTCAAATAGGTTTGATCCTCCTCATGTGAATAAGAAGAAACTAGAAAGAGAGGGAAGACTCCAAGATGACATAGAAGCTCATATGTGGGCTGCGATTGATGCATGGGAGAAAGTGTACATGGACAAACCAGATTCAAATGATGAAGAAGATACTCAAGATCAACACAATGCTAACACACAGGCAACTCAAGATCACAACAATGTAAACACAAAGGATACTCAAGATCAGAACAATGGAAGATATTTTACAAAAACAGATTGTTATAGGTCTGTTATGGCCAATGATCAGGAGACATCTACTTCAAATGCCGATGCACATTAGTTTAGGGGACAAACATCACATCTTTTGACATGTATTTATGCTTATGTTTTGCTTTGAAAATATGTAACTTGATAATGTAATAAAATCCTTTGTTATGAAATGAAAAACTCATTCTATTTTGGGAAAAATAGTGCCCAAAATATCATTGCACTTATTTTTTGTTAACTCAGACTATCCCCAAGCATCATTGATACTTGTAGGGAATTTTTCAAACTTAACCTTTTGAGCCCCCTTGTGTTCATGCTTTAAGCATGCCGGCGCTCCAAGGGAAGGAAGCTAGAGATAGAACAGTCGCCAACAAGTTTTAGGGACTTGTAAACCATTCACAGGTGCGAAAGTTACACCCCATTCACCATCACGAAGATCGCTAACTCCACAGTAGTCTGCAACCATGACTGGATATTTGGGGATGATGGTACGAATCCAACCTAAAAGAGATTGAACTCGCGCTAAATAAGCCTCTACTCAATTCTTATGATATTCATGTGTGCTTTCCGATCAACATTCATACATCAAATTAGTCCTAAACCTGTTTAATCTACGTTGGTTGATTATTAATGCACAATCAGATCTATTATTGGTGATCACTTGAATTAAAATCACATTAACCTAAATTAAAATTATTAATTATCTTATTAGGCGTGATTTCAAGTACAAATTCCCTTTAAACCTGCAGAAAGGGGCGTGATCAAGCAATAACAATAAATCATGAATAATCAAGCAACATATGATTAATTGACACAACAATCATCATCATAATCAAAATCATCAAAACATCATTATTGAGATCCTAGGAATGATGCTTTATTCAATATCAAATTCTTTAATCCTTATCTTTTGGGGAAATGATAAATTAGAACCTTCTAGAGACTTCTAAAAGCTCTTAATAAATCCTAATTGGTTAAGGATTGGGATTAAGATATTTGGACCCTCCACATGATCATTGGGTCGTAGGTAAGATGGACCTAAGTCCAGTTTGGGCTCAGTTTAGTATTTTGGCCATAACTTGTTCGTTATAAGTTGGATTCGGGCTTATAATATATCGTTGGAAAGATCTTTTCAAACCCCATCCAACTAAACTATAATTGGACCAGAATTATGGACCAAGATAATCAGGTTGGGACGTTTTTATGGATTGGACACGAAATGAATGATTTTAAGGGACACGAAATGAATGATTTTGGGTTTAAAGACACGAAATGTTGGGTTTAAAACATTTTAGGCAAATTTGGAAATATGGTTAAGGCTTAAGGGAACTTCACGAGACTTTTCAACTCTTTACCGAACTTGTTAATCAAAGACGTGAAAGGTACTCATCACTGGGTTTGGTTTTGGGGAGACACAATCAGGTGTCTACAAAAGCCCCCACTTTGATTGAGTTTGGAGAAATGCAAGTTTCGAAAACAAAAGTCAAAGTAGATTGAAAGGGACGCAGAATGATTCAGAACGTTCTGCGATCCTAAACCATCCTTTTTAACACCGATACTTGCAGAAAGCGTCAGTTCTACAAATAAAGGAGTTAATAAACGCTTATCTGGGTTTGCCGAGCACACGTCTCTGGGTGACATCTTTTCGAATCAAAGTTGTGTTGTTTGACAACGTCCATATTCTCTGGGAGCGCCTCGAAGATCGCTACGCTTCAAGCCATCTTCTCAAATCAAGGGGGACAACCTCCACATTCTCAGGGAGCGCTGTCAAAGACCATTACGTTTCGAGCCGTCCTAAAAAATTGGATGACAACCTCCGCATCCTCAGGGAGAGCTGTCAAAGACCACTATGCTTTGAGCTGTCTTTGAAAATCTTCTTGTCTTCACGCCTTGGAAGTGATAGCTTCTCACGCTTCGAAAAACCTATCGTAAAACGTTACTCTTCAAGATCTTATCGAGCTCAAATTGATTTCCGTAGAAATCCACCGTCTTAGGAGTATGTGACCATAATCAATTACTTCTCGATCAATATGCTCAATCTATACTCAAATGAGGCCATCAAATCAATAACGTGATCGCCATCAGGCCAATCATCAATAAAATGTGATCGTAATTGGGCTGACTATCAATCAAATCAACTTATTTGTTTATCAATCGCTCATCACGAGGCTTAAAAGGATTAATTTCTCATCAAGAGGCTCGAGTGGATAATTAGGGACCAACATTTTGACTTGTGGAACCCTCAAAGTGCTGACGAAGGCAAAGTC